GAGGAGGAATTCCTTGTCTATCAGGCCATGAGTGAAGCAGATATTCCAGCCCATATCTGGAAAGAATCAAAAGTTGAGGAAAAGTTGGATAACGACAACGCTGAGACAGTGACGTATCACCGCATGGACATGATATGGGGAAGTTTGCAAGAGAAACTTCCAAATCTTAGCAAGGTGGCATTGGGTGTTTTGACAATACCACACAGTAATGCAGGAGAAGAGCGGGTGTTTTCCACGATAAGAAAAAATAAAACAGATTTTCGTTCTAACTTGGATCTTCGAAGCTTGCTCAGCTCAATTATGACTATCAAAATGAATAAGCCAGAAGACTTACTACCATGTCACAGGTTCAAACCTTCCAAGAACCTGTTATCAAAATGTAAAGCAGCATGTAGAGAGTATAACAGGGCCCATACCAATGTGGCTCCCCACTGAATGAATTTATGCCTTGTGGTAAGTTTACAATTCTTCATGTTTTTTTCTAAGTGGCCATTGCAAAAGTGATAAAAGAAATCTCCCTGTTTATTCTTATCTCAGATATTTTTTAGCTTTTCTTTGCTGTTGTTAATCCATCTTTTCAGAATCTAAGACCTTAAAGAAAACCACAAAAATGATGTCAAAATGCTCGAAATGCCACTTGAGAGAAACTAAATTTGCAAAATTTCCTGGGGGGGAGGCATGCCCCCAGACCCCCCTAGAAGCTCGCACCGTTGGCGCTTGTCTTAGCGCCTTTGGCGCTAAAAGAGCCTCCCTATTTCTCCTCAAAAGGGGTTGAAACGTCTGTGTTTTTGTTTGTTGGGGTATAAAAAGATGTGCCATATATATATATATATATATAAGAAACTAGACTTAAAACAAACCCTCATAATTAATAAAAACTGTAATCCTTTCAACATTAATTTATCTTTTCATAGTTTGGAAGGTCGTTTTGCAAAAAGCCTTAAAAGCCTTCTCCTTGTCTCGAAATATGTATGATACCCCTGAGTAATTTCATAAAATATATTCTCAACTTTTTGAAAAATTGAAAGTTTTCTACCAATTAAATATCATAGAAAGACACTGGGGTGACCTCGGAGTGTTAGACATTCATATGATGTTATTAAATGGTTAGGTAGTCAACGTCAACTAATCAAATGAGCTACTTGTTATCCTCTGCTCCTTGAAGACCATGCTAGACAGAGATATGGAAATCAAGCCGAAACCAGCACTAAGTGTCCTGAGAGACGTATTCATGCAAAGGAGTGTTGACTTGTAGTGAGACTGAAGACTTCAACCAGAAGAGACTGCGTTCAAAGGGTTCAGTTGTTCAAAGGGTTCATACTTGTTACAAAAGAGGTTTCACTAAAACTCAAGCTCTTAGTTAGGTATGTTCTTGGAAGGTAAAGGAGTATTCTATAAAAATCCAATTGCAGTGTGGGTGTGGTCCCACTGCTAGCTACTGCCAGGTTATTGCCTCAAAGGCATGCTCATAGATAAAAATACTGCAGGCACCAAGTTACCACAACATAGCTGCCTTGATCTTTTTATAGTCATTATCAACAGCTGTCATGGTTTCCATTGCTGTAGCCACAGCTTCTCCTATTCTGGTGCAGTTAGCATCAATATTGCAGACTGCTGCTTTAGCCCTCCTCTGCGTCATCCCTCGAGCTGTAGCACGCTCAAATGCTGTAGCTTTTAGTTCATTTATTTTGTCTTCATTTTCACGCAGGCTGTTTAAAGCACCAGGACACTGAACTAAAACTTTTTTGGATGCAGCACCAACCTGCCAGAAGGCAAAGAAAATATATTGTGGTCACTGATCAAAAGGAATTTAGAAGAAAAAATGACTTTCACTAAATGAAAGTCACAATCTGGTATTCCAATATACTATTTAATGGTAACATGCAGCTGTAAAAAGTAAAAATGAATTGAGTATCCAGACATGTCAGAACATAATTTTGTAAAAATGTTGAAAAGTTCAAAACGACTGAGTCTCTCCACAGCACTATGACTCCCTCCATAGTAAGCCCTCTTGGAGGAGTTATTAGGGAACTTAAGCAGTCACGACGGCAATGCCACGCAAGACGTTGATTAAAAAATGAGTTTCTACTTTTAGTTAGAATTTTGAAAATGGCTGCATGTGTTTACCGTCTCATAGGGCCCCAGACCTCAAACTCAACATAACGCATAAAAGTAGCGTTGAGTTCCAAATGTAAATTAAAATAATTTGCCGCCACGGTTTTGCTTCGCAGACGACGCAAATTTTGGTGATTTCACGTTGTTGTTTTGCAAAGGACAGCTAAGAAATGTACAAAGTTTTAAAACGCACGTGCTGGGCTATTGTTTTGCCAATTAGATCTATTGATTTTCAATGTTCTCGTTGCCATCGCTGTCAGGGTTTGCTTAAATTCCCTATTCTCTAAAGGATGCTCCATAGAGACATTATTCATGTAAATAAGTTAAGCTGATAATAATAATAATAATAATAATAATAATAATAATAATAATAAAACATAGTTCTTAATTACCTCTGAGTGGAATGACTTCAAAACTCTCTGTACTGGGCCACTGACACGTTCCTTCACTTCTTCTTTCACTAACAACTTGATAAACCCTCCATCTTCATGTGCCTGGAAAGGAAAGGCAAAAAGTTAAGGATGATCAATACAAGGGGGTATCAATGAGCTAGGAAATCGTCAGAAATATATTCTCAGCACGATATCGAGTTATATTTTATTCACTGGGAAAAAATTGAGGTGGCAAGGTCAATGGTGTTTGAAAAAAAAATTGTATCTTCAATACATCTATTTCTAGTATGTCGCACTGTGGTGAGCCAGACATGCCATGTATGATTCCTTAATGACTGGAAAATCTTCATTCAAAGTCCTTGAAACTGACACCTACCAAAAACATATGCAAAAGGCACAGTGCATATAAAGCTTATCACTTGTTTCAGTATGTGTACATCATGAAGAACCTTGACATTTAAAAGTAGACATTGTTAGGGGGTAAGGAAAAGAGAATGCATGGCAAATAAAAGTGACACGCTATCTGTGCATGCTTTTGCTTATCAGAAGTGTCTTGACTATGACTCTCGGGCACGATTGTTGTCTTGCACAAAATGCCTCTTCAATCTCAATCTCTTGCTGCAATAAAGAAGCATTTAGAAGTTGATATCATAAACTATCAAAGCTAACCTCCAATGCATCTTCATCATCATCTGTCCTTATTAACTGCTTCAGTCCATCTATACATTCTTCAAGACTTGCCTTTGCATTGCTAGTAACTCCTGCTATACTACAAGCTCTCTTAAAATTATTCATGGCATCAAGGAGTCCTGTACTTGTGTTTTGAATTGTGTCAATTGGGTCATTGCACTCAGCAAAGAACACATCAAACTGTATGAAGCAAATCAGATATTTGCAAAGTGAACAGTGAGAACTTTAAACCCTTTAAACCATCCATTCAGAAAAATTGCATAATTATTCTCTAAACTTTTCCTAAGATGCTGATAAAGAGAACCTGTTTGACAATCAAGAGCTTCTTTAATAGATCATTTCCTTTATTCTCATGACCTTCATATTTGCTTCAGGGCCGGTGACATTGTAAGGATCGATCGAGAAATTAGGGGCTAGCAGGGTTCGTACACTTTTTCAGGCCAAAGATTCAAGGACTTTTCAAGGACTTTCCAGGACCCTACTTAGAAATTTCAAGGACTTTTTGTAATGAAAATTTTACCTCTAAACCAAGAAAAATGTTTCTGTGAACATCTATGTTTTGGGTTTACCAATGGTGCAAAACAAAAGCAGATATTTTTCGATGTCGTTCAATAAAAAATCAAGGACTTTCAAGGACGGAAAATGAAATTCAAGTACTTTCAAGGCCTTGAAATCGGCCTCCTGAAATTCAAGGGTGTTCAAGACGCATACAAACCCTGGGCTAGTCACTCTTAGTGGTTAAAGGATTAAATATATATAGACTGCTTGACAAATCCATTACATTCTGTAACTGACTGGAAAGAGGAATATAGTGACTCATTTACCTCAGGCACTTTTGTAACAATAAGTGGAATAAACTCCTTTTTCTCTGAAATTTCCAAAGGACTTATCGTAACATAGTTTTTCTCTTCAAGTTCTGGGTCATTCTTGCTGAGTTTGCCACCCTTTGAAGCCAATTTTTTTTTCTTCAATTTCTGTTGCAAGAGATGCCGTATGAGAGACTGGATTGCAGCGTGTACACTGTTATCACTCTCTTTGGCTGACACTGTAACACTGAAAAGGAACACAAAACCTAAATACTGCTGATATTTCAGTTTAAATGACATATCCCAGTGGAAAACATGAAGCTTATTGCGAGTGAATATCATAATATTTTTCAGTTTATAATTATACAGACATGCTTGGAAAAATAGAAAACAGTTATAGTAAACCGTAACTGTCTTAAGTGCTACTCAATCTGCATGGTCAAAAGAAGAGAAAAAAAATTATGTATCACATTATGAGAGCAGCGTCTTGTAATAGCTGATAGCTCAATTAATTAAAAAATCTGTTACAAATAGAGCACATCAGCAGTAAGTCTTGTTACAACATTTTTCAATTCAAGAGCATTTTAAAGACTTGTTTTAAAAAACAACAACAACAACAACAAAACAGTAACCCAGCACTTACCTTCCGACAAAGCCATGTTGTAATGCCACACCCTCCAATACTCGCACTGTTTCTAAGTAAGTCATCTCATCGCCATCATTTCTCTCTTCTTCGGCTTTTTGATATTTGAGCTGGAAAATGATGTTGCAAGTCAATGAAACCCAAGAACATTTCTTAAAAGTATACTCAATTTGCTCCAAGCAAACTACAGCTTGATTAACATCAGCCCCAGTTTAAAGTTTTCCTTAGTTTAAAACTTTTCAAACCAGTTTTAAGTGTTTCTCCTGTGCTTTAGAATATGATCAAAGATAATGAATACAAGGCAAAGATAAAGAGAAATCAAAGTCATGGCTTAAAAATATTTGTTGTCAAATTCGAACTATACCATATACACACTTGTCTAGGAATGGTATTATCTTTCTGAACTTTCCTAATATAAGAAGGATATCACTTCTAGTTCTTTAACCCTACTCCCAAGTTCTCATTGATTAATAATTCTCCTTACAATTTTCCATACAGTTGTTATGGTGTTAATTTGGAGAGGTTGGTACTGGATCAACTAATAATCCCCTAATTGATATTTTTCTTTATTCTCATGACTTGTCTGCTTGGTATTGTATTGATATTGTAAGGAGAAATTCTGTCTTGGTCACTTATGGGAGTTAAAAAGGTTGAGAAACTTAACCTCTGCACAAGACTAAATAATAAATCTAATATAATCTACCTTATCCATCTTGTTCCCCAAAAGTAGAATTGGGATCAGTTTAGAGTCTGCAATGTTTTCCTTTATATTTCCATTATTAGCTGTAAATACAGCATTGTTGACAATGTCTTGTTTCCAGGTTCCTGCCATAGTCACAGAGTCAATGTCATCCATGTCAACAACAACTAAATGGGAGAGAGAAATCCCAAATTTAACTTGAATGACATAATGAACATAGTACACATTGTCTGATTGGTCAATTTAATTTTCAAAGTGGATACTTTGTCGAGTAATAGAGCCTGCATGTAACATTTTATGTCGTATGTCATAGAACACATTTTTGTAGGCTCTATGATGTGATAAAGCCACTTGGGATGTTGGGGGGGGGAACACTTGCCCTTGATTTATAGGCTATCCTCATGTTCCCCCAACATCCCGAGTGACTTTATCATGCTATACTATAGTGCCTGGAAAAATGTGTTCCATTGCTTAATTATTGCATTAAGTGACCTTTAGAGAGGAAAGAAGGGAACAATGACAGTTGTCCTATTTAATATGGTTTCAGGTACCAGAAACTATTCTTCCCTTAAGACAACTTTACGTTGATTTTATAAGGAATTGTGAGTTGTAACAGCTGTCCCTTCACCAGTCTCTCTTGTGACAGCTAGCAAGGTTACATATTGGACACAATTTGAGCTGTCTCATCTCAAGGCATACAAGCCAAAGTGTTTATAAGAGAACAAGCTGACTGCTCTAAAGGAGGGGGGCTTTGGCATTTTTCGGTTTTGACTGTTTTAAAGATTGTTTTTTTTAGTTTTTGGGCCAAAAAGGTTCGGTGTTTTGGTTTTGATGTTCAGAGCGGTTTGCAGATTTTACATGTTTTTGCATTCAGTTTTCAGTTTTCGGTTTTCACAAAAACTCTGATGTGACGGTTTTCGGTTTTTCCTTTTTGACCCCTTTAATTAAAGCTGAAGATGTAGCGGTTTTGCCAGGTTTGCATGCAGTTTTTGGTTTTGCTGCCTTTTATCGTCGCTTTTTCGGTTTTGGAGGTTTTTTTCTCCTCCTAAAGGGTTTAACTCTACCTGCTGAGATGAGACAACTTGTCATTACCAGTCCTCTCACTCCTCAAGACAAGTTCATCTTTTCATGTAAATGGTTGGTTAAATGTTTCAATTTTTTTTTTGTTTTTTTGTTTTCTTTTTGTTCTGCTTACCAATAGCAGCATCCACATCCTTGTAATAGCTTCTTCGCAAGTCCATTTCCTCTCGCCCAGGAAGGTCCCATAATGCCACAGACACGATGGTCTCAAATGGGATGTTGACATGCTTCACAACATTTCCTATGCTCACAGAGACACTAGGCTGGTAACTGTAGTCGAACTGGTTCTTCGTGTAGCGTAAAAAAATACTTGATTTTCCAACTTCAGGGTCACCTTGAATAAGTCCAAAAAAAAATCATTCTTACTTCTATTTTAATTTAGATGGGGTTTCATGCCCACATATACTGCAAACAAATCAGCCTGAACATTCTGTTTACCAGAGTTTGCCCCAAGCTTTTAATCAGTTTAAAATTCTGCACTGTTTCCAACAATCCATCGTAATAATTCGCGAGGCAAGTGATTTTGCTGTCAATGAGGAAAAACCTCAAAAATTATTCCAAGGGTCAGACACAAGTACCTTTCAATCCAGAGTCTTAGGGGGCATGCTACTCATTAACAAACTTCCCCTTGAATTTCCACAATCACATAAAAAGAGTTGAGTAAGAGTTTAATATCACCGGTAATAAACTACACTGCAGTTATCTCGGTCTATAATCTCAAAGTTCATATCAAACGATGAAGTTTAGCGCCATTCTAACAGGCCGTCTTAGACTATTTTCTGCAAACTTTTCACCATTTTAAAGAGCCCTAAAACCTAATTGCCTTGCAATAACGAAAATAACACCTTCGCTGACACTGATTACTTTCCTGTTAGTACCAACAATTGTTACTCAATATCACTTAGTAATACATATATATTGGAAGTTCTTCCATAGATTCTTCGATGTCCGTTGCTATAAACAATTTCGGAATTTTTATAATAAAAAGCGAAAGTGTCCGCAAGGGTCATTACCACTTGTTAGATGACGAAAGTCGTGTGAATGAAAATGATAATATTTGTCAACGGAAATCTC